GAAGTGGGCGGGGTCGCGCAGGTCGAAGGCGCCGCGCGGGGGCGAGCTGTCCACCGCCGCGCCCAGCTCCTGCGCGCGCTCCGACTCTGCGACATACAAGCACTCTGTGAGCCGCACGCAGCACGCCGCACGCCGCACGGCTGTACGGTACTTTCACTTTGTGTAATCAATAAAAGCTCTCAAAAATGAATATTGTGAAGGTGCGAGCAGCTGCGGTGGCGCCGCCTGGACATTGTGAGATAAAACATGAAACAAAATCTGATAAGAATATCAACGAGTCGAGTATCGCATCTGCCATTACAACATATCGGAATCAAATAAATGATATGTATGTAACATTCATTTAGTTTTAATGATGATACCAATTGGACTAGGGAGGTGGGAGTTCAACCAGGACACGCCGTTTTGCTCCAAGAGGCTCCCCCTTCTATTAAAAACTCCGAAAGTGCAAATGTAAACAAAACGGTGTATTATTTAGTGATGGTATTTATTTATACATATTTTAATAAAAGGCATGACTTTGAAAACGACGAGACACACTTTTACAAAAATTGTTCTCCCCACATTTGTAATAACTCCGACCTTTTATAATTATTTTAAACAAAATATATTACAATTATTTTACCGAAAAAATTATAAAAAAATATTGCCAATTAAATTGGTTTTCTTCTCAAATAATATGCTTCAATACTTATTTGATTTATTTAAAAATATTGATGTTTATTTCAAGTTTTCAAGGTGTAAATATAATCAAATATATAGAAGTTGTACAGAGCAGCAGCAGCAGAAGAGCACTTCACTAATTCTTATAAAGAAAAAGTATATTTTTAAGCAAAAACCTTATGATGGGACATTCGCTCGTCCTATGAAGCGATTCAACAACTTGATGATGAATTCTGGAAGTAAATCGTCTACTTCCAAAGAAAAGTATGAAGTCGAGCGCTACCAGTGGGCGGGCAGGGGGCGGGCAGGGGGCGGGTAGTGAGCGAGGCAGGGGAGAGGAGGTACCTGTCATGTGGTCGGCGGCGCGGCCACGCACTGCGCCCGCGTAGCTGGCGCCCGCCGGCGCTGTGGGAGGCGAACGTCAGCCGGAGGACCACCGCCTGGCGCATGCACGTGCCGCAACGTGCCGCAACGTGCCGCAACGTGCCGCACATTGCACGCCGCATACACTGATATGTTTTATATCACGGTGCAATGAATCGCGCGGGCGAGAGGAAACATTTGTTGGCAAAAAGAGAAGGAGTCGCGAGGCGGTGGTCCGTGCCCGGGCTCCGGCGGGTGGGGGCGACGGGGGCGGCGGGCGGCGGGGGCTAGCTACACATACTGCGCTCTACTCATTGCAATACATGTCCAATTATTAAATATATCAATATAAATTAAATATACATTAATACACACACATACATAATATAAATATTTAAACGAGTCATATATGTATATATAATAATCAGTATCTCCGATAACATAAATGTAATCTGAATACATGTGTTCATATACAATAAATATATACGAGCCTCAAGATGTGGAGGAGTGTGGAGCGGTGCGACGTAGTGAGGGACTAGAAGTGGTGAGGGTGTGACGCGGTCAGGAAGTGTGAGTGCGAGGCAGAGTGGGTGTGACGCGGTCAGGAAGTGTGAGTGCGAGGCAGAGTGGGTGTGACGCGGTCAGGAAGTGTGAGTGCGAGGCAGAGTGGGTGTGACGCGGCCAGGAAGTGTGAGTGCGAGGCAGAGTGGGTGTGACGCGGTCAGGAAGTGTGAGTGCGAGGCAGAGTGGGTGTGACGCGGTCAGGAAGTGTGAGTGCGAGGCAGAGTGGGTGTGACGCGGTCAGGAAGTGCGAGGCAGAGTGAGAGTGACGTGGTCAGGAAGTGTGAGTGCGAGGCAGAGTGGGTGTGACGCGGTCAGGAAGTGGGCGTACCGTCAGGTCGTGGCCGGGCGTCGCCGTGCGCGGGCGTCGCGTCCTCGATGAGGCGGTGTGTGCGCAGCAGGGTGCACTCGCCGCCCTCGGCCGCCAGCGCGTACACGTACAGCACGCCCGCCGACGTCGCCACCAGCAACCGCGCGCCGCCCGCACCGCTCGCCGCGCCCGCACCACCCGCATTCCCAGCACCGCCCTTTGGCACGCTGTCAAACGCAAACAAACACGTCACATCGTATCAAAATATTATTATTTTGAACTAAAGAAAACATGTTATGATGAAGTAGGGGTGGAGAGGGAGTGGGAGGGGGAGGGTGACGCACTTGGTGACGGCGACGACGGCGCGGTGTCCGGAGGCGGGCAGGCGCGCGGCGGCGAAGGCGCGCCCCTGCGCCAGCACGTCGGCCACGGCGCCGGGCAGGTAGCCGGCGCCCGCGGTGACGGCCTGCGAGAGCCAGCCCAGCCAGCCGTCGGGCGGGGCGTCGTCGCGCGCCGGCTCGCACAGCCGGAACACGTGCACCGTCTCCGTGTTGGAGGTGGCGGCGAGCAGCTGGCCGCACGCGCTGAACGCCAGGCAGCCGATGCTGACGCAGCGCTTCACGCCGCGCCGGAACTCGTAGAGGCGCGTGCGCTCGGGCACGGCGAACACGCGGATGACGGTGCCGCGCTCCGAGGCGGTGGCCAGCCGGCGGCCGCACATGGACCAGGCGAGCGCGGCCAGCGGGCTGTCGTGCGCGCTCAGCACGCACTTGGCGTTCAGGTGCACCGCGTCGAAGATCTGCACCTCGCCAAGCGCGCTGGAGCCGGGGTAAGCGAGGTAGCAGCGCTCCACGTCCGGCGAGAGCACGCACACGCCGCGCGGGTTGGGCGGCGTGTCGCGGATCGTGTGCAGGATGCGCATGTCGCGAATGTTGTGGATGTGCAGCGACTCCTCCAGGCACACCACCAGCCGCTGCCGCACACACATACAGATGTTCACATTGCTGGTGTGAGGTGATGTGTGGGGTGATGCTTGGGGTGATGTGCGAGGTGATGTGTGAGGTGAGGTGTGAGGTGTGTGCACTCACGGAGCGGTTGAGCTTGACGGCCAAGATGGTGTTGCTATAGCTGTAGTTGCAGATCTCGGTGCCGCGCTTGTAGTGGCACACGTACAGCTTCCTGCAACCACACACTGACGCTATTCGATATTTGCAATTTGTACGATTGTCGATGCCTCAGCCGACAGCGACTTGCTGAGAAAGAGTTTCAACGACCCGAAACTAAGTAAACATGTCAAAACCGCAATTTTTGGTTTAATGTCTTATTTATTAATGTCGTTATGAAGGATAAAGCAGGAATAGAAACTATTTTGTTTATATTGTAATTCAAAATCAACATTCAAGAAATTTTCGATTGCAGGTTCTATGACAACTATCGAAAATTGAGAAAATTTTTAATCGATTTTGCTCAACCCATATCTAGTGAAGTGTCAAACTAATCTATCTTAAATAGACACACCATAGTCCCGATCGTAGACCTCTACGAACGAGAAAATATCGCAGTCTCTTGGACTGTTGCTTATCCAGTTCTAGTGTAAATGATGCTGCAGCCTGATAATGACATTGATTACAAGGCAACAATTGACCTGGGCGCCGCGACCGTGACGATGGCGACCAGGGAGCTGCTGAAGAGCCGGTCCACCAGGCAGGTGTCCTGGCCGGATCGGCTCGCGTAGATCTCCTCCACGCCATCATCCGGTGTCAGTGCGAACAAGTGGTACCCGCTGCTGCTGCCCGCTACCAGTGACCTGCCATAAAGCAGACAATGCAACATCACACTACATTATACACTATGTTATAACATACTTCACTTCCTGCTGCTTCTCATTCATTTTTATTTGATATACAGGTATTTCTTAATTATCTGATATAAAGCCATGTGGAAGTTGGGGATCTCAATATCTATTGCTTAAGTCAATTGTATGTTATGTATGACTTCAAATACATTTAGTCATTTCATCTTACTTCTTACTTTTATTATAAATGGGAATGTTAAGAATAATGGATAGATGTTTATTAAAAGGTGTATCCAGAACAGCTCCTTTTTTGGGTGGTTTTTGGGGAACAGGTGACAAACGAGCGAGCGGCCACCTGAAATCGCTGAAATAGCGAAGTGACCGTTGCCCATACACATTCGTAATTGCATATGCATTGCCTACCTTTAATCGACGGAGGAGAGGATGCACAGAAAGAAAAGATTTTCCCTTCCCATGCATCCTCTCATCTGAAAAGTCCACTTCCCATCCTATCCGTCCATACGTATAAAAAATTAAATATATTGAAAAATGCCAAACATAAAATAGGCTTCAACAATAGATATTAAGGTTGTTTCCTTTGTGAAAAATATAAAGGTTTAACCCGACCTGCCTCTATCCAAATTTGTGTATATTAGCCTTTCAAAGTTATTTATCAAAGTCTTTAATAGATTTGAAGTCAACATATTGAAAGCACACACTATGTTTCATTTCATTTATTTTTCATGAGTTTCTAACTTTTAGCAACAAAATGCTGAAGCTCAAATACCAGTACTGAATATTTCAAACACAAAGAAATAAGAATGATAATAATTGTGATAACAATCAAGAAAATTTGTGTCTTCTTTAGCAACTCTGCAATTGCTGAAATTAATTTAGAAAAATCTGTTATATAATTTGAACAAAATGTGGCCCTACATTTTTCACTATTTAATACAACTTTTTTTTAAATGTTCAATTGACAAGTCTTGCTTGTACACTCCTATTTATATATCAGTTATCATATAACTGGCCATCAACTGGATTCAGTTGGTAATTTATTATAAGCATTTTTTTTTATAACTAATGAAGGTCATTCACACAAACATATGTTTGTAACAAAACAGTGTCAAGTTAGTGGTGAACAACAAACCAAATGTCAAAATAAACTGAAGGCCACAATTGTCATACTATTGTATTAATTAGTTAACATATTAAATTGCTACAAAACAAATGTCTCAAGCAGTTGTCCAAGATATGCTTTTTTGGACAATTCCTTGAAGCACATAAAGTGTGGTAATTTTAAGAATCGAATGTGGAAATATTGAGTAACATGTATTGCATCATCGTATTGCAACAAGGCAATAGATACAAGTCTTCTCAACTTTACGACCATCTAATTGCATCCATCATCAACTAAAGATTTCGTCTTATGATAGATTTTTGTTAGTTTGATAAAATGTCGGAAGCATTATACATATGTACAAGTACGGGAACTTACGTGCAATCTTGATTGAACTGGACAAATATTCCTCCTGCATTAGATCCCTCTGTGTTGAGAACTCCTTCCAAACTCATTGGAACGTTCTGAATTACGAATTTGTTATAAACCAATATACAACACCAACATGTACGAACTGCGCCCTTTGTTACCTGCTGTTGACAGTCTATTACTAAAATGTAAATAATAAAAACAGATTCTTCGTCACAAAATGAATTTTTGACACAAAGAACGACCTTGTTTACGGCTAAAAACAAGTCTTCTCCTGCACCAATCACAATCACCAATCAACATGGGCTATCATTCGCTGGTTCACTGTTCACTGGCCTTGCAAACATTGTTCTCTATTAATGGATAGGTCAGTGCTTGGAAATGACAGCTTTTGCTTCTTTCCGATTTTAACACGCATTCGAACTTTGAATCCGAACTAGAGCTATCAAACTCCAAAACGCAACCATCAACGCGGCGCCAATACGTCATACATCAAAAAGACACAAAATATCTCAGGATGTAGCCTATCCACGCGTAGAGGTCAGTGGTTTGCAAAGTTACTCCCCACCAAACGTGTCATAGAGTATTTGACATATAGGCAAACTAGTTTTAAAGGTACCAACCAATTGCTTACTATTTTAGTTTTTGCATTCACATAAATTTAGCAACTTTAGGATTTTTTAAGAAAACAAAAGAAACTAAACATGTTTTCAGCAAAATTATGTTCAGCATAAAAGTATAGTATCAAAGAGTATATAAAATATAAGTATAAGCATACATATCATGTATCATAGCATTTTATATACTCTTTGATGCATATCAAAGAGTATATACATATGGTTAATATAAAAGAGCAAATTGGAGCATATTAAACAGTACATTATTAAAAACTGCACTGAACTCTACGCGTGGAAAGGCTAAAAACCAAATTATCGTGTGCCTTTTTTTGAAAAACGTTATTTTAGCGCTGGATGATAGCTGTTGGGAGCGCTGTGTGGCGGTTTGAACTAATCGTCATGGAAGTAAGAAGCACTTTTTATTGCTTCCATGCACATCATAGCAAATTAAACTTACTGTCCGAAAGAAGCAAAAGCTTACAAAGCAATGACCTATACATTAATAGAGAACACTGGAAAACTCATACGTGTTTATTTTAATAAAAAAAAACAGTATTTAAAAAGGCAACATTCAACAGGCAACTCGTGCAATTGCCGCTAGCTCATTGGTCAAAATCTAACGCCGTCAAGATGACATTGTTAGTTAACCAAAAATGTGTTTTGTATTTACAACACAGTAACTAGAATAAAACTTAGATACATCATAAAGAGCTATGGGTAGGAAAATTCCAGCCAAAAAACATAGAGGTGTAAAAGATCCTCTTATTCAACAAGCTAAACGATTACAAGAGTAAGACGATTAAAATATATATGTATAAATGTAATATTTCTGTAAATTAATAAAGTTTCTACCGATAATTTCAGATTAAAAGGCAAAATAAATGCACCTCCCAATGACCCAGACGACCAACCTGTGCCAAAATCTTTGACACGATTATTTGCTTTTGAGTATCAATTAAAAGAAAAACATACGAATCTAAAGAGAAAGAAAAAGAAATGCACAAAAGGTTATTAAGGAATTTTATTATTGAAGAAGCAATAAGCTTTACTGAATATAGAATTGTATGAAACTCTGAGAAATAACTTAACACTTTTAAAAATGTGGTTGCGGTTTGGACTACAGGTGTGATGGTAGAATGGACATGGATACATACAAACAGTGAAAACCATGAGCTGGTTAATTTTCTAAAAAGATTTTTTTTAATTG